GGACAAAATGTGGTGTCTACACAATCCATGCACACTGGTAACATCGTTCCCCTTATCCTTCACTCTTCTCCATTGAGGACAATGTCGATCTTAAGTGTGTGTGGGGGGGGGGGGGATGTTTATCTTTTGACTGCATTAGATCTGTTTGTGTGCATGGAGCCTAGTCCACTGTCCAAATTTTTAAATTTGAGGGCTTCAATTACGTGTTTCCTTGGAAATTGCCTGCTCAGTATGCTTTGAATTGACAGTCTCTATAGTAATGTGAAACCTAGGGAGGTAGTGTAGCACTATGGAGGATGTTGAAGCATAAGATTTTTCCTATCTAGCTCTCTCTGCTGTGCCAGTTGATTTTGTGAATTAGTGGAGCTAAGACCGTTGAATTCATGTGGTAATGGTGACTCTGTTTGGATTGTGTTATGGACTCGTGTATCGAACAGGGTGCTCACGTGGGAAATGAAAAGCAGTTGGTCCTCCATGTCAAAATCATCAAAATCTTAAACATGGGGTAAGCCCAACGTGTGTGGCGCCGTTCATTGCACAAAATCGGGTTTTGGAGGAGATTTTAGTGATCCTTAGTGGGGTACTCCTACAAGGTGAAGCTAAGTTGTCTCTAGTACAAGTAAAACTTTCACCCGTTGAACGGTTTGCCTACTCGAGGATGTGTTTTTAAGGGCACGGATAGAGCTTCCGACCCCCCTTAATTTCATTGACCCTCCACACGAGTTGAGGAAAAGGAGTTAAAAGAAGTACTCTGGCAAGCGCCAGATGTACAAAAATTGCTCTTGCTCGACATGGGTCGACCGTGCAAAAGACTTTAGTTGGAACCCCGCAAAATGAAAGAAAAAGGAAAAAAAATGTGTAAAGGAAAGTGAGAAAAAGGGGTTCCAACGGTGAAATGAAGTGAAAAGAGCACCCCGGTACCACGAGTCCTTGGTTGTGAATGGTGTGAGTCCCTTTATCCATGAACTGACTGTCTTACTTCCACTTCTTCTCATGATCCTGGTTTGAGTCTAGTGCTCGCATTGAGAGAGATAGGGAACGTCTTAGAAGACCAGTTGACTTCGTAAGCTGCTATATGATCTAGGAAATCCTCTGCCGACAATCGGGGTTGTTTGTTGCTATAGAGGTATGGAGAGTTGCATTGGTTTGAGTTAGGTTTACTTGGGGACAAGCAAACGGTTAAGTGTGGGGGAATTTGATAGACCATTGATTGCACATGTTTTTACCCCTATTCTTGAGTCGTTTGAGATGTCAATTCTCGCGTTTTAGGCCGATTTCACGCTAGGTTGTTCTTGTTTGTGATATTTCAGGTCCTAGTACGTGAATGAAGGCTTGGGAATGAGTTCGGGGTCGGTTGGACGAAGATTGGACATTTGGCGAGAAGCTGATGGAGCCACACGGGCACGCCTAAAAACCTACACGGCCGTGTGACCTGACCGTGTGACATCAAATTGCACGGGCAAAATCACACGGGCCGTGTAGGGGACCCCTTGTGGCCGTGTGGAAATTCCAGGGAACTCACATGGGCAGCCTGGAAATCCACACGACCGTGTGGTTTTGGCCGTGTAGCAGGCCTGGAAGTCACTTAATCGAAACTCCGCGTTTTGACACTCACACGGGCAGCTCGGAAAGTCACACGGCCATGTGGCCTGGCCGTGCGATCGGGAATTTATGGGTTTTAACCCAATTTCCAGCCAAAGGAGTGGGGTTCCGAGTTTAGAGAGAAAAAGCGATACCTAGAGAGAGAAAGTGACTAACCTGACTCTGCAAGTGTCCTTGATCGATCTCCATCACCATTGGAGCGCGGCTTGAGCTTGGAGAAGACCTGATTGAGTGCCAGAAGCAGATTCCCATCCTTCACAGTATGGTTTCCACATCTGAGCTAGATTTTCCATCTCTCTCTATGGAGTAACTTTCTTATTCACCTAGGTATGAAGAACCCTAGATTTGTATGTTAGGTCTGATTGTATGAACCCAAGTACAGATTCATTGGTATGATTATGTTCAATTGAGGTTTGATTTGTTGAATGGCATAAATCCTGATCAAATTCCTGTTGTTTATGCTTTAACCTAGAAAGAGAATATCTGCCTAGGTTTGATAGAGCACCCTTGATTGAAGGTAGTGAATTGGCGACTTTAGTCCAGGAGTCAATTTACTATTATGTACCGAATTTACTTCGGTAGTGGAGGTTTGGTTCGTTAGGGCCTCAATCTGTTTACTCCGGTGGAGGTTAGTCGCCCGCTGGGGACTCAGATTGAAAGGGTCTGGAGACCTTTTGTTGAGACTTCAGACTGTTTAAGAACCTCCCGCAGTATAACTATCATTGAACCTGAACTTGGCAAATTATAATCCGGCTTAACTGCAGTCTAGGGGGAACCATATCCGGGTGACCTCTCTCGACTTGAAAACAACCTTTTTACTTGCTTTGCTTGTTTGCTTGTTTTGACCTTCACTAAAGTTTCACTGTTAAATAATAAGAACTCACGGAGTAGTCATCACATCTAGGACCCGGGTTGACATTAAAACCCAAACCCGCTATACTACGCTTTTGGAGGTGGTTACACTTGGCCATTTTCTAGAGTGACAGTAGGAGCGAGTCAACAAGATCATTGGAAGCAGAGCTCTCGATGGCAGCGCCGAGATGAAGTACTTAATCCAATGGAAAGACGGACACGGACCCTCCTGGCTCCTCTCCCACAGCAGAAAGAGCCCATCATCGTATCCACAATCGTCGAATGTTCTGGGGGAACAGAGAGTATATCGTAATTTGGTTCTCGAACACTACGATGTCGCCAATGATGGCGCGGAGCTTCGAGGAGAGGATGAAGTAATTTGTGGTCCTTGAGAGCCAGCTCATGGTATTGGCGATCTTGAGGGGAGTTGAAGACGATGGTGGGAAGAGCTGGTTCCGAGAACGAAGGTGGACAAGAGAAGATTGAGGATTGGAGTGGGGTTGAGGACAGTTGTGGTTTTTTAATTTTGATTATTGTTGGCGGATAGGAAATTAAAAATAAATAAAACATAAAAATTATTATAATTAGAAATTTGTGTTTATTAAATCGTTGCAATTTATTGTGATAATGAGGTAGATTTTTTAATATTTTATTTTATTATTTTTTAATTATCACGTCACTTATTTAACGGTCAACCTTCAGAGTTGACTGCCACGTCAGATAAAGTTTACGGAGATTAACGAAGAGTGTCCAATCTTGAACTCTTGAACTAATTTTAGTGACTATGGATTGCATTAAATAATAATTAGTGGCAAACGTGAAACTTCATAGTAATTTCAGTGACCAAACTTGCAATTTACCCATTTTCCTCTATATCGATTACGACGTCAGTCCTCGAGCTACTGCTATAGAGAAAGGAGCTAGGGATGGAAAAAATATCCGTAACCATGTATATCCACATGAATCCGATCTAATTGGGTAGGGTAAAACCCGAACCCGAATATTGCGGGATGGATGGGTATGATTTTCTCACTATTCAACCCGAACCGCCCGATTATACACATGTATATGTATTTTATCTAGAAATAATCATTATTTTTCTCGAGCAGATTTTATATTTATCATATAAATATAATATTTTCATGGAATTATGTTGTTTTAATTAATTTTTTTTCATTCTAATGAATTATTGTCGTACTTTTACTCTTACGTAATGTGAGTATACATGTAAATGTTAACATATTGGTTGGAGTTATAAAGAGAAATTATTATCCATGGATAACCGTGAATACTCGAAACCCGAAACTCAAACGTATATAAACATGATTTTGATTTTCTACCAATTTCTCATGTGAGTATGAATATGAGTAAAACCGAAACTAGTTTGATGGAAAAACGGATATGCACTATACCCTGACCCGTTCTATGCTAAAAGGGGCAAACCGGCGAGGATAAAGAAATAATTGAAAATAAAACGTTCGAAACCCTACTTAACAGCTCTGGCGACTGCGGCGACGAGCAGTTCAGAAGAGAATCAGCGGCAGTGAACAGAGAGATCACGGATAGAAGAATCAAGCTTCGAAGCGACTAGAGCACCGCATGTGAGTTTAGCTGGCACTTCTCTACTGCCGGCGACTCTCCGCGTTTATGTCCTGTTGAATCCATTCATCTTTATTCGCTTGACAAGAGTTTTGCTGTGCTTTAATGGGTAGTGCTTTGCTGGTCATGGGGTATAAAACTAGCGAGCGTTACTTAGCTAATTTGCTATTTTCGCTGTGGGTCTTCTGGAGAATGAGTTGTTAGCAGTCGTTGCATGATTTTTCTGGAAGTGGGAAGAAGCAATATCTCATAGGCTAGATAGAAGAATACGTTATTGCTTATGAATAGAGTTGAATGAATATTTGATTTCGTTCCTTATCTAGTTCTTCGCTGACTGTTTTGCTGGCGAAGTTCTCAACTTTGCCTACCCAATCAGTTTTGCATGGTACACCTGGGCCATTACCCGTTATTAGTTACAACCTAGTTCCTTGCACTACACCGGTCTCTCACTTCCTGCTTGAGCGAACCATGCAGAGGCTTTGAAGGTTTAAGTATATATTGCTTATGAAAGTTCTATTATGTGCATCTCTTTCCATAAGCTCCTGAAAATATGCTATTCAGCAAGTTATATAGGGCAGTATCTTCTTTTTATCTCCTTGGTTGGCGTTGTTGTGTCTTATTGTATTATATTAATACTGTATGAAATACATATCTCATTCCTAGTATTAAGATGCAGAAGGGCATGCATTCTACCTTCTCTCCCTCGCAGTGTCAGGTTTTATCAAGAAGTTGTTTCTTAAACTTAAGTTATTGTGTTTGTTTCTGTTGCTTTATAGAGTTTGCAGTCTACTCCTTTGAGCTTCTAGCTCTAATGATTGGTTTATTTGTGTATGTGCTTTCTCGTGGTATAGACAGAATCGTAACAAGTGGCTGTAAGGTACCTATGGAATCCACTGCTTGATGACTGTCAAACAGGCTAAACAAAGACTCCTGTACTTATTTTAAAGATGGAAGCTAATAGCTCAACTATTTCACGAGCCGAAGAGATAAAAGTGCTGGCTAATGAAGCTTTTAAAGGTACTGACAGTGAAAGCTTCTGTGACGAGTTGGTTGTCTGTCAGATTGGATATTACTAAGATCTGAGTTCTATTTAGACTGAATTAGAAACACTTTTGAGCAGGGTGCTATAAGTTAACTCTGTTGTTCAATTTCTTTCTAGATACTTATATATTTCCTATAATGCCATTCGATTCATTTTGCAGCGCATAAATACAATCAGGCTATTGACCTTTATACGCAAGCAATTGAAGTAAATGGTCAGAATGCTGTTTACTGGGCAAACCGTGCTTTTGCGCACACTAAACTGGAGGAGTATGGTAGCGCAATTGAAGATGCTTCAAAAGCTATCGAAATTGATCCCCAATACTCAAAGGCAGTCCCTGTCCTAAGACTTGTGCAAACAATTTTGTAATACATGTGTGTTTTCTATGTTCTGATTGTTAATTGGATTACAGGGCTATTACAGGCGAGGTGCTGGTTATTTAGCTTTGGGGAAATTCAAAGAAGCACTGAAGGATTTCCAACAGGTATGTGCTTAAAATGTCTGATATTAGTGCTTGTTCAAAGCTTGGAGGGAAATTCAGAGAATCACTAAAGGAATTCTGTTCTGAATCGCCTAACTTTATTGCCAGGGACTATTTGTTGTAAGTTGTCTTTAAGTAGAACAAAGAGGGCTCTTCTTCAATACCAGTACTTACGAGATTACAGATCCTTTAAATAATGATTAAGGTTCAAATCTTCAATGCTCTAGATTTTTATTGTAGTGTGCACAATAACAAGAAAATCAGGTCTGAGATTTAACCACCAAAACCTACAATTATTCTATCAACAATCTGGTTGACTATTTGGCAAATAGGTATTGAATGCATAAGTTTCTTCTAGTTATGCTGGCACCAAAATCTGATCTTGTATTAGCTTACTTCTGTCTGGTACCAAAAAATACTTTCCGGCGCTCTAAATTATTTCATTGTTGATAGGCTGTGTCCAATTTTGCCCCAAATTGCTCTCGCCTCTGTTCTACTTTGTAAGTCTGTTATTATTTGTTCATAGGTGGCAAATGTGCGTCAATGCTATCATCCTTTGAGGTTATTCAATTTATTTTATTAGTTCGGTCCTTCAGATTGGACTACTATGAGTTTATTCAATTTGCTGTTCAAACCAGCAAATATTTTTGAAACTGCAGTTATTTTGTTGTACTATTCCGTCGATCAAAGACTGAGGTCTTCAATTATTTGCGCAACTGTATGATGTATGTTTTTTTCATTTCTACTTTTGCTCTTAGATAAAATGCCTAAACTAGACTAAAAGGTTGTCCAACTAACTGCTTAAATTTTTTGTTATTTCATGTCTAATAGCATGTGGACATTATTCATCTAAATCATATTAGGCACTGAAATATGTCTGATATTTGGATTTCATCATCTGCATGCAAATATACGATGCATATATTGGTTCTTGAATCTAGGTCAAGAAAATCCGTCCAAATGATCCTGATGCTAGCAAGAAATTAAAGGAATGTGAGAAGGCTGTCATGAAGCTCAAGTTTGAAGAAGCAATTGCTGCACCAGTGGCTGAAAGGCGCTCTGTTGCTGAGTCTATTGACTTCCGATCCATTGGTAAATCCTTTCCTTTACCTTTTCCCCCCTGTTTTTAGTTACTCTCCATATCTCGGCTTCTTTCTTTATTTCTTTGTACCTGCCTGCTTATAGTGAATTAACACCCCAATGGTCGGTAAATAAATATATTGTAACATGTATGGGACAGCCATGTTTTTCTCATTCAATGCTTTTACAAAATGCTCACAGTTGTGTGTGGAATCTATCATATATTTTCTTCGGTGAATTTAGTGAAGAACACTGCGATCTCATTTAGGATACTATTTTAACAAAATCTAACTAGTTATTTTACTTTGTGAAAGACACTTATGGCAGCTACTTAGAATTTAGCTTGGATTACTGCAAAGAATTGCGCACCATCTAAAACTCAGGCTTATCCTCTGGTTATTTGCTCTTCACTTGGGATCCTACTAGAATTGAGAACCCCTTTGTGCAAGTTGGATCTTAGTGAACGTCTTTACTGTTTGGTTCGTAGTCAGTAAAGTTTGTAGCATGGTGAGTGGATCACCTATTGGAGTTAAATGACATATGCTACACAATCTTTTTATTACCCTACGCCAGTCCTTATCTGCTTGCTTTGATTGGCCTGTAATTATCCTTGGTAATCCTCTGTGCTAGTTCGTTTGGATAGGTTTACTACTTTGCTAGACCTAACAAAGCTCTAGATTTAAGATTTGTTAAACAAACAAGGAATGATGAAGAAATGGCTGTTTTGACCTGGAAGATCCTTGGTAGTAAACAGTAACAGAAGATGCCATCTGTGATAGTTGGACGATGTTCGAAATTTGCAGCTTGAGAAATGTGTATTATTAGTTGCTCGAAAGTTGATCTCATAAAACTTCATTATTTTGATTTCTCTGGTTATATTTTAGTTTATTTTCATAATTAAAGCCCATTATTCTTGTGGACGAGGAATAATGGTTAGATTGTATTCTGCTTGTCTGATGGTAATAGGGACGGGCCCCAGTTCATCATCTGTGCCCACCCAAGTGGTCATAGTACCGGTAGCAGTGGCAGTTACCGCAGCAGCTGTGATGTTGGTGCGAACAGCAAAGCCCGCACTGGTGGTGGGAGTGCTGATGGTGATACTGGTTGTGTTAGGAATTTTATGGGGTGGCTGGAGTAGTGGTTTATTTACCAAGCGACCTGTGCTTGACCTAGGTTTGAGCATAGAGGCTTTAGAAGCTGTATAAGCGAATTGCCTGTTGCATGCATGGTTTAACTGCTATTAAGTCCTAGGTTCTTTTGTATATTGGTTTATCTTTTGTTTAGACAGGAGATGCAAGTTTACCATCAACGTTTTCTTGTTCTCTTTAGGCTATCCAACCAATAGGCCATAGGTTTCTCTAGATAATTTTAAATGATGATTTCAGTGCAAATGAAATTTTGCCACCAAACAGCTGAACTTCAATAAGCTTAATAGGTGTTTGCTTTCTGTCATAAACTAACTATAGTGCCATGTGTTATTTATAACTTCCCTTCATACATTCATATATTCCCTTGTTCCTGGAAAATTCCCTTGTTCTTTACAAAGTGTTATTTTAAGGGAGCCAAAAATCTTATGATGGTTCTATCTATGATTGATATTATTTGTATGTTTTCAGAAGTGGAGCCCAACTACACTGGTGCAAGGATAGAGGGAGATACCATCACATTGGACTTTGTTAAGAAGATGATGGATGACTTCAAGAATGAAAAGCGCTTGCATAGAAGGTATTGTTGGAAAGGAAATCCTGTTTCAGATAATCCTGTGGATTAACTTTATACGAAGTTTCATGCTGCTATAACTATGGACTTTCAATGTTGCAGATATGCATTCCAGATAGTGTTACAAATCAGAGAAATGTTGCAAGCTCTACCCTCTCTGGTTGATATTGATGTTCCGGAAGGAAAACATTTCACTGTTTGTGGTGATGTACATGGGCAGGTAATTCACTCTACTGCATTATTATAATGTATTTTATGTGCATAATGGTACGTGTCTCGATGATCGTCTCCCTTCAAACTAAGTTTATGTTTTCCCTTGCTTGCAGTTCTACGATCTTGTCAACATTTTCCAGCTAAATGGACTTCCTTCAGAAGATAACCCATATCTCTTCAACGGTGACTTTGTTGATAGAGGATCATTTTCTGTGGAAGTCATCCTCACATTATTTGCCTTTAAGTGCATGTGTCCATCAGGTATATGCCATCTGTCTTCATATTGTAATGTTTGTATGAATTATGGGATATTTTGCTTCTAGTTTACAGATTATATGTTTATAACAACATTTATCCTGCTCCTATTGGTATTCTAGTTTACTGAATTTGGTCTATACTTGTAGCTATGTATCTTGCCAGAGGAAATCACGAAAGTAAGAGTATGAACAAGATATATGGGTTTGAGGGCGAGGTCCGAGCCAAGTTGAACGATAAGTTTGTGGAGCTCTTTGCAGAGGTCTTCTGTTGTTTACCATTGGCTCATGTAATCAACGGGAAGGTATTTGTGGTGCATGGAGGTCTTTTTAGCGTTGATGGAGTTAAGCTATCTGATATTAGAGCTATAGATAGATTCTGCGAGCCTCCTGAGGAAGGTGAGATTCATGTGTATTCTTGCCATCTTTATTATCTGCAACATTAGTTTCTGTTTAGTGGCTTAGTCTGAAATCATGAGAGAGAGTGCTGGTATACCCCTTCGGTGCTCAGTGTGTTGTTACTATGTTGCCGTTGCTAACATGCGAAAAGAAATAATTCCGTGCCCTTCACTCACCAGTTAGACATGTTTGATGAATGGGGCCAAAAGAGTTGGAACTGTGTCCAACTTGGACGATCCATTATTGTTAGTATCATCTCAGTAACTGACAATGCACAAACAATCTACTTTTCCTTTGATTTTGTCTTCAGGGCTAATGTGTGAATTGCTGTGGAGTGATCCACAACCTCTCCCAGGAAGGGGTCCTAGTAAACGAGGCGTGGGTCTTTCTTTCGGTGGTGATGTGACTAAACGTTTTCTTGAGGAAAATAAGCTAGGTAAAAACATTATCTAAAAAGGTGGCTCTGCTGCTTTCATTTGTTTCCTTTCAGTTGTATATGTATGTATGTATGTATGTATGTATGTATGTATGTATGTATGTATGTATGTATGTATGTATGTATGTATGTATGTATGTATGTATGTGTGTATGCATTGCTCTTCCCTGATAATGAAACTGCTTAATTTGCAGATTTGGTCTTGAGATCTCACGAAGTGAAGGATGAAGGATATGAGGTAGAACATGATGGTAAACTTATTACTGTGTTTTCTGCCCCCAATTACTGCGATCAGGTAATGTTCCAACTCCGTGGGTGTTCCGTCACTAGGACAATGGATTTTCTCTTTCTTTGTTACGATGTTCATGTCATATGCATTTCTCCTCATTTTGGCTTGTTGCAGATGGGTAACAAGGGTGCTTTCATTCGATTCACGGCTCCTGAAATGAAGCCAGAAATAGTTACATTCTCAGCAGTTGTCAGTACCCTTGGTCCTGCAAATGCTATTATCGCTATATTTCAGTTTCTGTTCTCTCTTGCTTATGACTTGTATTGTGTTTTACAGCCTCACCCTCAAGTGAAGCCCATGGCATATGCAAACAACTTTCTGGGACTTTTCTCATAATCTACAACAGACCAGACAGCTGCTGGTGAAAAAACTGGAGTAGGTCTAAAATGGCAGCAGCGTATGGGCAGGCAGACGGCGGGGGCAGAAAGAAATTCAGCTTCTTTGTTGGTTAGCATATTCTTTGGACACCACGCCTTCTGTTTCTGTGATTCTCTTATGGGCATTTTGGAACGTGGGGGCAAACTTTCTGCACCTGCTTGTTCGCAATGGCCATTTGCTAAAGAACATGTTTCTTTTGGTGATGGATTTTGATGTCTTATCTGCATCGGGAAAACTAGTTGTTAGGCGGGAGACAGATACCTGTCATCAATGCCGGTGTTCATGTGAAAAAAGATTCTGACGTTTGCAATGGCTTAACCTGTCTGGGCAAGTTACATATTCAAAGTCCCACTTCTTGCTGGTGCAAATGGCTCCAGAAAGTGTTGGTGCCTTTGAGTGTTTTTTGGTTGTTAAATCTTAAATTCATTTATTTTGGTAGGTTGCAATGACCGTTTTGTTAGTTTGCCCTCTGCCAAATTTAGAAGACATCAGTAGCATAGCATGATTGAAACTATATATCAGGAGGTTCAGGCTTTTATAAATGATTTTGTCTATCAATAGTATCAATGATTTCAAACACACAAGATCACTTCCTTTCCCAGTCTCGGAAAAATCATGGAGGAGGATCAAACTACTACTACTACATTGATTTTAGGTGAGTGCTTAAGTTGTTGGGCAAGCCCAATGAAGGTCTGGAGCTCACTAAATACAACCCCAGAAGCTGAGACTAGTTCCTAGATCTTAGAGAGAAGAAAAGAGAATACAATAAGCTCCTAGATCTTCAATCTTCATCTTCTAGGGATGAGCTTCAAGCTCCAATGAGATTGGGCACCTCCAAAATTTCACCAAGAACTCTCCTAGGCCAATCTCTATCTAGAATCGCTCCTTGGGTGGTTTGGGGTGAAAAACCAAGCTCTCCTTGCTCAAAATCCGCTATCAGTTTAAACTCGTAGCAGTTCATGGTTTTGTTGTTATTATGATGCCCCCAGGGTATGAAGTATGCACAGGAGCGCGAGAAACATGTGTTGATAGAAATGTGTGCTCTTCACGATTTGGTGATCATTTCCACGCCCTCCAGGTAGTGAAAATTGCACCCAACCCATGAACCTTGCATATACTCCATTTTTGGCTCATTTTGACCCTCAAATATCTTGGGACTCGTTCCTAAACTTCTCTCAACATACTAGGACATGAAATATGACAAAAGAAGCACAACCTAGTAGAAAATAGGTCGATGAATGACGATTACCAAGTCAAACGATCAAGATTTGAAGGGTAAAACATGTATAATTAACCGCAAATCACTTACAAACACAAAAACATTAAAAAGAAGATCAAACACACACAAGCCACCCTTTGGAGCGAAGAGTGCGTCAACAAAACACAAATGAAACACAATTTACTAAGTACAAAAAAGGTTGAAAGAAAAGAAAAAATAACTAAAGTAACAAACCAAAGCCTTTTCGCGATAACCTAGAAGCCCCCCCCCCCCCCCCCCTAACGACGTCAAAAGCTTGACTCGACTCTAACTACACATTCCCAATCGAAGGCCAAGCATAACCAATGAGCGATTGTAGCATAGGGTAAGTAAAGTAATTAAATTATCGAATCCACAGTTCTCTAGTTACCATCACTTCAACTTAGGTTCCTTATCTAGCCAAACATGGATAGTTATAAAGAAACTAAGCTAATCTAAGTAATCTAACCACTACTAGCTAATTACACGGTGGGAGCTCACTTAGCCATGAATCTCACTAATCCCTTCATTTGGTTGATGTTGAGTACTACCCTAAATTGATTAACTCGACACTTCTACCGCGAAGAATTCTATACTAGGTTGGAGTCTCTATTCGAGTTGTCCAACCCCTCTCAATTGCTCTAGCCAGAGAGGCGTACCATTCAACCAACCTAGGAGGTTGAGCTGTTCAAAACCAATTCCCACAATTGGGCAACACCCAATATGACACTATGGATCCTATCACACTCGTTAAAAGATCCATAATGAAAGATTGAAGGTGCTCTATTGAACCTAGGGAGATATTCCCACTCCTAGGTAAAAGAATAATTGACATTAGTGAGATCAAGACTCATGCAATTCATCATAAACATCAATAAATAGATAATAGGAGTAGTCATTCATAGGATATTTCACATGCATCAACAATACAACGAAAATACCTAAGTGAAGGAGATTAGTTCATAGAGAGAAGAAGAGACAATACAATAAACTCCAAAATCTTAGATCTTCATCTTCTAGGGATGATCTTCAAGCTCCAATGAGGTTGGGAACCTCCAGAATTGCTCCAAATACCCTCCTAGGTCAATCTCTCTCTAGAATTGCCCCTTGGGTGGTTTTGGGTGAAAATCATGCTCTCCTTGGTCAAAACCCGCGACTGTCAATTTATACCCGTAGTAGTTCACGATTTTGTTGTTATTATCATGCCCCTAGGGCATGAAGTGTGCACAAGAATTCGAAAAGGAGATGTGCTACTGGAAATATGTGCTCTTCACGGTTTGGGGGTGATTTTTGGCTCGTTTTGACCCTCGAATGTCTCAGAACTCATTCCTAAACTTTTCCCAAAGTATTATGACATGAAATATGACAAAATAAGCATAACCTAGCAGAAAATAGGTCGAGGAACGATGATTACCAAGTCAAACAATTAAGATATGTAGGGTAAAACATGTACAATTAGTCGCAAATCACTTACAAACACAAAAACACTAAAAAGAAGACCAAACACATACAAACCACCCTTCGGAGTGAAGAGTGGGTCAGCAAAACACAATACACTAAGTACAAAAAAGGTAAAAAGAAAAAAAACAAAAATGACTAAAGTAAAAACCAAAACCTTTTCGTAATAACCTCAAAGCCCCCCCCCCCCCCCCCCCAAACGGTGCCAAAGACTTGACTAGGCTTTAACTACATATTCCCATTCAAAAGCCAAGAATAACCAATGATCGGGTGTAGGATAGGTAAGTAAAGTAATACAATTATCAAATCCACGTGTCTCTAGATGATGTACCATTACTTCAACTTATGTTTGTTATATAGCCAAACAAGGATAGCTAATTACACAGTGGGAGCTCACTTAGACATGAATCTCCCTAATCCCTTCATTTGGTCGATGTTGAGTACTACCCTAAATTGATTAACTCGACACTTCTATTGCGAAGAATTCTAGACTAGGTTGGAGTCCCTATTCGAGTTGTCTAACCCCTCTCAATTTCTCTATCCAGAGAGGTGTACCATTCAACCAACCTAGGCGGTTGAGGTGTTCAAAACCAACTCCCACGATTGGGCAACACCCAATATAACAATATGGATACTATCACACTCATTAAAAGACCCATAATGAAAGATTTAAGGTGCTCTATTGAACCAAGGGAGATATTCCCTCTCCCAGGTAAAAGTATAATTGACATGTAGTGAGATCAAGACTCAAGCAATTCATCATAAACATCAATCAAATAGATAATAGTAGTCATTCATAGAATATTTCACATATATCAACAATACAACCAAAATCTATAACTATGGTTCATCAAAAACTAAGTGAAGGGGAACTAATTCATAGAGAGGAAAGAGAATACATTATAATGCTTAGAATCTTCAATCTTTATCTTCTAGGGGATGATCTTCTAGCTCCAATGGTGATCCAAGCATCCAATCTTGCTTCAAGAACACTTCTTGGTCTCTCTCTAGAATTGCCCCTTGGGTGTTTTTGGGTGAAACCCTGTAACACCCTACCTTGTACGTTTTGCCTAATCATATTGTTCATACAATTGCAGCGGAATTTAAAACTGGTGTTACATTAATTACCAAAATTTACCCAAATAAAATTTTGACATGAATTACTCGCGTAATGGGCTAACAGTTCTTACATCTAATCCTGCAAAATAATTCATTTGAATCCATGCATTCATAGACAAACATATATATACTCACAACCATATGCATTGGCTTTTCATAGCCATACTCACAGTTTCATACTACACAACTGCATACCATACTGATACATTTCTTAATCGTCACAACTTACATAATTACACAAATATACACATATTATCAACTTTTCACACCTGTGCAGGGGCGGAGCTACACATAGGCTCGAGGCCCCCCCCCCCCCCCCCCAGAATTTCAGAACTTATCTATAAACTATATCGGTATTTGAAAATTTCGTATAAACTGATGGGTTATAAAATAGTTTACTGTGCATTATTGTAACACGAAAGTAAACTAGCCCAGTGGTCGGAATCCTTCTATCCTATCCATCATATTATGGGTTTGAAACTCAAAGGGAGCATATTTTAATTTTAGTTTTAATCTCACATTAACTTTTATCTTATTATTATATGGATTCAAATTGATGCTTTGATAATATTAAAATTTTATTTTGATTATTGTTTTTGCTTAATTTTATTGTCTTTTCACAGTAACAAAATAAATCCCTCTTCGGAACGTCAAATTAAGTATTCGTCTCTAAATCAAAGATGAAATGCATTTTATGCACTTTCAACTGCAACTGGTAAATCAATACTAATTTTAGAAGCACATAAATTAATGGAGTCATAAACAAAACTTATGGATGCGACGTATTCACCTTTTTGTGTTTGTCTACACAAAATAAGTTGTAGTATTGATCTTATTTTGAATAAATCTAATCATCTAAAATGCTAGTTATAATAATATTAAAAATATTTTTCCTGAATTTTTATCATATTTTTGAAATAGTAGAATAAAAAAAATCCGGCCCCCCGAACTTCGAATCCTAGCTCCGCCCCTGCACCTGTGGATATCTCACACTACATCATAAGCTAGTATGCACATGAAAAACATTATCAAAACATTTTTTTTACAAAAAGGTGTGGATCACTGGCCAAAATCCTGAGTATTAGTCCAAGCACAGAATAGTTGAAGACCATACCTCATCTTGCCTTCAACTCTTGCTCAGCTC